GGTTGAAACCTTGCCCACACACACAGAACCAGTTTCTCCCCGCTGGGAACGGTGCTTTCTCCTTCCATGTACAACATTCAGTGATATTCAGGTTGTGATATATTGGCAGCTCTCTCAGATCTGGATGTAATGTCTGGGTTCAGTTTGTTGACTGCAAAGCCTACTCTTCTAATAACAATGTGAAACTGATTCAGACGAAACAAAGGGAGTGAGACAGAAACCACAAAATCAAAAACATTCGTTATGAAATGTGAACTGGATGAAGCTCATAATTTGAAGAGTATAAGTTAACGGCAGTAAAAACAATTTGACCATTAATGATTCTGTGGGAAAGTAAAGTTGGTAAATCAGCAGCACAAGGTCAGGGGATAGACGGTGGTGGAAACCTAATTTAGGCACAATTAGCAGATGTAACAGTAAAACACAAAACAGAGCTAAAATACAACAATTATCAGGGAAGAGGTAGTTAGACAATGGCAGAGAGGAGATCTGGAATGGAAGACATGAAATAGAGCAATGATGGACATGGATTCAGATTCAGATCCAGAGTAAAGGAACCACCTCAACCTCAGACCATGCAATCTCTCACAGATAACAGGACACAGCACTAAATGCTCAAAACTTGCAACTCTACATTCAAAAATGCTCAGCTCTGAAACAATTTCACTGCTTTCAATATTAGACTCCTGCTGCAGCTTGCAACTGGAAAGATGTCAGAAGCACTAGAAACAGAGGATCCAATTTGACACATTACCCTGTATCCCATGGGTTTTTACTTTTGACCAGTCTGCCATGTGGGACCTTGACAAATGCCTCAATACAATCCATGCAGACAATATCCACTTCACTACCCACATTGAATTCTTTGAGGAATTGACAAGGAGGCTCAATCAAATTTGTTAAGCATAACCTTCCCTTAATAAAGCAATGTTGACTATCCCTGACTAGTCCATGCATTTCTAACTGACAGTTTATCTGGGTTGATTCTTACAATTTGCCCATCACCAAAGATTGACTGGCCTATAATTGTCTGGCATTTCTTTTGTAGCCCTTTTAAACAACAAAATCTCATTTTCATTCCTCAAGCACCTCACCTGTGTTGAGTGATGTCTGCAAAATAATGCTCACAACATCTGCTATTGCCTCCCTGATCTCCTTCAACATCCTGGGGAACTATCCAGTTAGCTACAATTCCAGCTCCTCCACACTTACACTCACATGATGATTATTTTGTCTACTATTTCACACCACACCTTTTGGATGACGGTATCCACATAATCCCTTTCTTTTGGGGTGGTGAGGGTGAGCCCTACAGTTGGTGTCCAAACGCCATCAGACTCGGTGTTACTCTGTGACAGGGGGACAAAGCCCACGGTGGACAAACCTTTTAAGGAGTTGTAAACAAGTGACATCATCTCCAAATTTGACATAAAACAAGGACAGAGCAGCTGGAGCTTCCTCCTGATTCATGGACGATGTTAACTTTTGTCCCCCATTCACCACTACAAGAGATTGGTGTTTGCCTGCAGCAAGAATAATGTTTCTTTGTGAAGGAGACCAAACTTGCTTAGACTTCAGATGTGGTCTCACAAAACCCTACATTGCTGCTGTAAGACCTCCTTGCTCCTCTTGCAATGAAGGACAAAATTCCATTTGCCCTCCTAACTGGTTGCTGCACCAACATGCTTGGTTACAGTGACTGATGTACACAAATCTACCACTATCTAAATTATACTCTGCCATTCTGAATGTTCTACCAAAGTGGATAACTTCACACTGATACTGCATCTGCCATTCTCTCAACTTGTCTAAATCATCCTGAAGCCTCTTTGTGTCCTGCTCACTCACAATCCCCCTAGTTTTGTGTCAACAAATTTGAAACTATTACATTGGATTCCCTCATCCAAATTGTTGATGTATACTTTGAATGGTTGGGGGTCTAAGGGCACTGATCCTTGTGATACCCTACTTGTCAAAGCCTTATACCCCAAGAAAGATTCATTTATCTCCACTCTGTTTCCTGTCTACTAACCAATTCTCAATGTACACAAGTATATTCCCAACAATCCTGTGGATTTTGATTTTGCACACTAACCCCTTAAGTGGGATTTTATCAAAAGCTTTCAGAAAATTCAAATGACCCCATCCACCTGTTTTACCAGTTATATCTTCAAAAAAAAAAATACTTCAGTACATTCGTCAAACGTGATTTCACCCACCTTAAATTGACAGACTGCAGTTCCAAGAGAAGAACTTCTGACTTGCCTAGTCCCCTCTGTATTGGGCAGACAAAAATCACAGACATGGTCCATGGCAGCACTTTCTCCAGAGCACCTGAGATGGGCAATAAATGCTGTTGCAGGCAGCACTGCCCACATCCCATCAACAAACATTAAAAAAATCCTAAGGCCCCCTGTCCAGCCCCACCTCAATTTTAAAATTCCCATCCTTGTTTTCAATTCCTCCATGATCTTCCCCTCTCCATTTCCACATGTTCCATATCTTTCCCCACAGACAGAACAGACAAATCTTATACAGACAAAACAGTCAAAGTCTGATCGTATTCATCTTCTGATTCAGCAATTGCTGCCGGAGGGAGGGGGAGCTCCCCAATTGGCTTCTCACTCTGGCCCAAGCTGTCAGCTGATTGCCCTGTAAACCTTGGCTCCCGGAGGGCAAACAGTGCATGGGGGTGGGGCTCCCATGTCTGCACACCTGGAACGTCACCACTGAGCACAGCGATTCCTATTGGCTGCTTCAGGCAAGCCCCAGCCCTCCACTGTGGACCTCACAATGCAGATGTTGTCTTCAGAATAAAACTTCCTCCTCTGTACAACATCTGGGACCAAAGCAATGCCTCCCCCTTTCCATTTCGTTTCTCATCCTGGGAGGGAGGGGGAAAACTGCTCACTTGCAGCAACTGAAGGAAGAGGAAGTGAATCCATGGAGGGAGCATACTCTGGAAATGTTGGTTCAAGTATGTCTTTTAAATTTATTGTCATTATTTGCTCTCTGAATTTCACACATTTATTTGCCTGGCTAAAAGGGTGGCTTTCTTTCTCATGTTAATGACTATAGGATTTCTATCATAGATAGTCAAGATTTAAGGGGCAGTAAATTAATTAGCAATTAAGGCCAAAATTCCATTTTCTTTCTTCATAATTTGCAGCACCATTCTTTGGAAGCTGTCTTCAGAGCTCTAACTGTGGAGTGTGCAACATTTAGCAAAACTGTCTTGCAGTGAAAATCCCTACTGACAATCCCAATCCAGGACTGTGTCATGGAGTATGCTGATGGGAAAAAGAAATAGGCTTCCTTCCCTGGCTGGTCTACAAACTACAAACCTTTTAGTTAACAGCTGGATGCAATGACCAGTCTTCCTGTCTAAATATGTCAGTTCTCACTGATCCAGATTATATTCCATTTACCACTGATCAGCCCATCTGACCAGGCTGTCTGTACGCTCCTGTAAGCTAAGGCCATCTGCCTCACTATTTACTACCCATTACTTTTGTATCATCTGTGAACTAACTGATCAATCCTCCTCATTAGTCTAAATCATTTATATAAACAAAAACAGCAAGGGCCCAGTCAAATAAAAACACCCCTCAACCATCACCTCTGCTTCCTGCCACTCAGCCGATTGTGGATGCAATTTGCCAAATTTCAATGGATTCCATGGACACTTATCTTTGCTCTCAGTCTCCCATGTGGGATGTTATCAAAAACCTTGCTTATGTCCAAAAGAGACTACATCAAAAGTATTGCCCTCACTGACACAGCCAGACACCTCGTCAAAAAAATGGAATCAATTTGGTCAGGTGTCAATTCCCCTTTTAAAAAAAAACGTGCTGACTGTTCTTGATTAATCCCTGCCTCTCCAAATGCAAATTCAATCTGTCGCTCAGAATTACTTCCAATAGTCTCCCCTCCACCAAGGTGAAACTGACTGGCTTGCAGCTTCTTGATTTATCTCTTGCTCCTTTCTTGAATGAATGGTCCATTTGGTTGTCCTTTAGTTCTTTAGCACCTTGCATGTGGTCGGAGGGGAACTGAAAATTTTTGCAAGCGCCCCTGCTATTTCATCCCAACGATGTAGAATATATTTCCCCGACCCCAAATATGGATCTGTATTTAAGCCTGCCAGACCACTCAATACTCAGCCAATTTCTTTACATTATATCACAAACCTTCTCCCTGATTCATCTCTCTCACTAGTGAACACTGACACAAAGTATTCATTTAGAACCAGGCCTACATCCTCTAGTTTCATTCACAGATTACCTCCATGGTCCTTAAATGGGCCTTACTCATTCCCCGTTATCTTTCAACCACTAATGTACCTGTAAAACAACTGAGCATTTTGCTTTATTTGACTTGGCCGAATGAATTCATGTTCCCCTTATAGCTCTCTTTATCTCCCCATTTACGTTCCCTCTTGCACATTTACCTGGAAGTATCTGCTCCCTGTGCACTCTGGCCAAATCATATCTGGTCCTATTAAAATTAACCAATTTGGAACTTTGATTGCAGGCCTATCCTTGTTCTTTTCCAATAACAATCCTGCAAAATGTTCCTGACTGATACTCTGACCACTTGTCCACCTTGGTTACCTAAATTTAGAGTCCAGGAGCGCCCCCTTCCTTGTTGGGATTTCTCCATAATGGCTTCAAAAGCCGTACTGGATCTATTTTAAAAGTTCCTCCAAACCTATCACATTATGATGACCACAGTTAATGTTGGCTAAGTTGAAATTCCCTGCTATCACAACCCTATACTTTTATACTTACTTGAAATTTACCTCCTTACCTGCTCTTCTAGTTCTACCCATATGGGTTTATTTAAGGAGTTTTCTAAGCTGTAATAAATCCCTGAATATAATTGTGACACCTCCTCCTCTTCTGCTTCCTTCACCGTCTCACATGAAGATCCTGGAGTATCGAGCCTCCAATCCTACCTCTCAACCATGTCTCAGTGACAGCAATGTCATCATACTCCCATGTTTTAATCTGTATCCTCAACTCATATGCCTTGTTCAAACTCATAGCATTAAAAATCAATGTCACTCAACCATATCAAACTCCCTTGTACCTTAACTGGCCTGTAATGTCAATGCCTCCTTGACTCACTTGTTCATTGTTCTATTTTCTTCTTACCCTTTTGGACATTCAGTCTGGATTCCATCCCCTTGCCAAGTTAGGTTTCACAAGGCCCAAGAGCACTTGTAACTAAATTTCCGGCATTACAGGCTATGTCTCACTCTGGATGTGCTTTCTCCCAACTGCTCATATGAAGGGTACACATGATTACCTTATCTCTAAGGCACTCAGAATGAGGCAGACCTGATACAACACAGTTTTAACGAAAAACTGATTTGTATTGTTTTTATCCCAAATAAGTCACTGAACCTGTGGTGTTTACACACATCATCAGAAACAGTTCCAGAAAACATGGTTTGGATATAGACAACAACAGCATCAAAATCCAACACTGACAATTACTAGGGAACTCATTGCTGTTTAACCAGTCCTGATGAACCACAAAATTACTTTACAAACAATATGCAGATGGACAGTCTTTATCAGTATAAATGTGTTAATATACAGCGACTATTGATCATTTTCAAAACTTACCACACAGATACACAATTGTATCAACATTTTACCTACAATATCAGCACCTTTAATACAGCAGGGTTTAATAATATCAATACAAATGGCCCAATGACCAAGGTTCATACCTTGGTGTGAGTAAAAGCAAAACCCTTCATCTGCGGTTCTTTGTGAATTTGCTGGTATGTTTGCAAACAGCAGATCCTTTTACACAAACAGAGCAGGTGAACAGGATCCACCCAGTGTCATTTTACTGGCATGTTAACAGTTTGGATGACAGTGAAGCCTTCCCACATAAAGCGCAAGTAAAGGTCTCTCTTCTCTCCGCAGGTGAGTTAACTAAGTGAATGTTTCTCCCCAGTGTGAACTCGCTGGTGTCTATGCAGGCTGGATGATTGGTTAAATCCCTTCCCACATTCAAAACAGGTGAATGGTTTCTCCCCAGAGTGAACTCGCTGGTGTATCCGCAGGTTGGATGATTGGTTAAATCCCTTCCCACAATCGGAGCAGGTGAATGGTTTCTCCCCAGAGTGAACTCGCTGGTGTATCCGCAGGCTGGATGACTGGTTAAATCCCTTCCCACAATCAGAGCAGGTGAATGGTCTGTCCCCAGTGTGAACTCGCCGATGTATGAGTAGGTCAGATGACTGAGTGAATGCCTTCCCACATAGGAAGCAGGTGAATGGTTTCTCCCCAGTGTGAACTCTCTGGTGTTTCCGCAGGCCAGATGACCAAGTAAATGCCTTCCCACACAGGGAGCAGGTGAATGGTCTTTCTCCAGTGTGAACTCGCTGGTGGATCCGCAGGCTGGATGACTGAGTGAATCCCATCCCACAATCAGAACAGGTAAATGGCTTCTCCCCAGTGTGACTGCGTTGGTGCATTTCTAGCTGGGATGGGTAAAGAAATCCCTTCCCACAATCCCCACATTTCCACAGTCTCTCGCCAGTGTCACTGCACTGGCATTTGGACATTTCAGATGAATCTTCACAGACTCTTCCACACACAGACAATACGTGTTTCTCCCAGGTGAGAATGTTGCTTTTTCCTTCAATGTACAAAATCCTGAGATAATTAGCTTATTACAAACAGAGTGACTGTCAGATCTGGATGAGGTTTCATCTGAAATCTCTCATTGCAAAACAACCTTTCAAACAGAAAACAAATGTGTTAGGAGAAATCAGAAGAACACATGGGTTGTGAAACTGAGAGAAATTAATCTGGTTACTTCTGGAGATGACAGTTAGGGAAACTGCTGGATTATCAGTAAAACTGGACTGGTTCACAAATGTCCTTCAGGGAAGGGAACCAGTCAATGTTTGCACAAAACTACAGAAAGAAATAGACATGGGAGAGATAGGCAGGAAAGAGAAGCATTTTACAGGTCTACAACTCAACCTGTTCCTGCTTTCTCCCTGTCCCTTCAGGACCTCCAAAGGGCTAAGGTTCCTGGAAAATGGAGGTTCAGGTAGATCGCGTGCTGAAGGAGGCATTTGGCATGCTTGGTCAGTGCATTGATTAATAAAGGGACCCGGGCTCAATTCCACTCTGTGTGGAGTTTGCACATTCTCCCCATGCCTGCGTGATTTTCCCTGGGTGCTCCCAGTTTCCTTGCACAGTCCAAAAACATGCAGGTTCGGTGGATTAGATGTGGGAAATGCAGGGTTACAGAGATAGGGTGAGATGCTCTTCAGATGGTTGGTGTGGACTTGTGGGCCAAGTGACCTGCTTCCACACTGTAGGGATCTCTGATTAAGTATAAGTGTTATGAGGTCACGTTGCGGCTGCGTAGCATAATGGTGAGGCCAATTTTAGAACACTGCATTCAATTCTGGTCTCCCTGATTTCAGAAAGATGTTATCAGGGTAGGGCTTATACACGTAATGGTAAGTTCCTGGGGAGTGTTGCCAAACAAAGAGAACTTGGAGTGCAGGTTCACAGTTCCTTGAAAGTGGAGTCAAAGGTAGATAGGACAGTGAAGGTGTTTGGTACGCTAGCTGTTATTAGTCAGGGAACTGAGTATAGGAGTTGGGAGTCATGTCGTGGCTGTATATGACCATTGAAATATTGTTCAATTTTGGTCTCCCTGCCATGGGAAAGATGTTGTGAAACTTGAAAGAGTTCAGAAAAGATTTACGATGCTGTTGCTAGGGTTGGAGGTTTTGAACTATAGGTGAGGCTGAATAGGCTGGGGCTATTGTCCCCAAAGCATTGAAGGCTCAGAGGTGACCTATTGAAGTTTACAAAATCATGAGAAGCATGGATCGGATGAATAATCAAGTTTTTTTTCCCCCAGGGTAAGGGAGCCTAAAACTAGAGGGCACAGGTTTGATGTGAGAGGGGAAAGAATTAAAAGGGACCTAAGGGGCAATGTTTTAATGCAGAGGGTGGTTAATGTATAGAATGAGTTGGTCAGCATGGATGAGTTGGACTGCAGGGTCTGTTTCCATGCTGTACATCTCTATGACTCTAAGTGTTTAAGCAAAATGGTGGAAATCGGAAATTAAAACAAAAAGTGCTCGAGTTATTTGGCAGGTCTGGCAGCCTCTGAAATGGTGACAGATGCAGGAACCATTGCAACCTTCAAGAAATGTTTATATGACCATAAAAAACACTACAATATAGGTTACATGCTGAGTGGTACAAAATGGTACTAGAGTAACTAGGTGCTTGATGACCAGCATGGAAAAATAGGAAGGTGACCTATTATCGAAATGAGGGAAAAGACTCTGGGGTGCTCCGGTACAGAGGGATCTGGGTGTCGTTGTTCATGAGTCACAAAACTAGCATGCAGCTACAGCAGATAATAAAGAATGTGGAGGGAATGTTGGCTTTTATAGCGAAAGATAAGGAAGTATTGTTGCAACTATACAAGGCATTGGTGAGACTGCACCTGGAGTATTGTGCACAGTTTTGGTCCCCTTATTTGAGGAAAGATGTAGTGGCACAAGGCAGTTCAGAGGAGGTTCACTAGATTGATCCCAGAGATGAGGGGTTTGTTGTATAAAGGGAGGTTGAACAGTTTAGAAGAATAAGGAGAGATCAAATTGAGGTATTCAAGATGATAACAGGTACAGATAAGGTGGTTTCGGAGTGGATGCTTTCTCTTGTGGGGCATTCTAGGACAAGAGGTCATAGACTTGGGATAAGGGGTAGCAAATTTAAAATAGAGTTGAGGAGAAACTAGTTCCCCCAAAGGGTTGTGAATCTGTGGAATTCACTCCCCTGAAGTGCAGTGGATGCTGGGAGAGTGAGTAAATTTAAGGAGGATTTAGACAGATTTTTAATTGGTAATGGGTTGAAGGGTTATTGGGAGAAGGCAAGAAAATGGGAGTGAGAAGCATATCAGCCTCAATCGAATGGCAAAATCAGAGTTAACGTTTCAGGTCCAGTGACTCAGATTCTGAGGAAGGGTCACTGGACCCGAAATGTTAACTGTGATTTTTTTTCTTCACAGATGCTGCCAGACCTGCTGAGCTTTTCCAGCAACTTCTGTTTTTGTTCCTGATTTACAGCATCCGCAGTTCTTTTGGTTTTCATCCTGGATTCATATCTGCGGCCACAGAAGTGCCTGTCTGTACCCCTGACTATTGAATCCCCTGTCATTATAGCCCTGCCTTTCTCCTTCCTCCCCATTCTGTGCAGCAGGGCTATCTGTGGTGTCATGAACCTGGCTGTTGCTACTTTTCCCCAAGAGGCCACTCCATACATGCCCCCACAACAGAATCCAAAGTGGTATATCTGTTTGAGAAGGGGACAACCACTGGGGTCTCCTGCTCCTCCTTCTTGAGCCTTTTACTTTATCTGATGGTCATCCATTCCCCTTCTGCCTGAGTAATCCTCACCTGCGTTGTGAACAACTCACTCAGTATCACAGGGGCTCCACAGTGAGTCCACCACAGCTCCAGCTCCAAAAAGCAGTTACCCAGCAGCTGCAGATGGACACACCTCCTGCACATGTAGCCATCACGAAGCGTCCCTTATTTCCTACATTGTGGAAGAGGAGCACACCACGGATCTGAGGTGTCCTGTCATGACTTCTCTAGATTTTGCCAGTTACTATGTTAAAAGAATTTAAATGAGGTAGCAATCTTTCTTTGTTTCAAACATTTCTATTATAATCAAGAGCTCCTACATTTATTTAAGCTGACATGCTATACTTTTAAAAACTGTAAAAACAAACTCTACATGTATTACTTGCAAATTGGCTATTCCCACTGGGAATGTGTGACTTTCTGAATGACACGAACTGAGACTGAGGCACCACATCCAATCTCTCAGCCTCACCTCCTCCCTGTCTCACCTCATTCTGTTTTCACTCAGCTCCAATGCAGCACGTTGAACCAAGCAGCACTCAGTGCAGCCTTATCATCTTAACTGACTACTCACACGTACACTGATCTCAGCCTCCTGTACTGTTCCAATACAGCTCAATGAAAGCTCAGAGAACAGCATCTCATCTTTCCATTCAGCCTATTATAACTTACAAACTCAACACGGACTTCAGCAGTTTCTGGATCAACAGAGAGTTGTCAGGATGTGGAATGGTCCACCTGAAAAGATGATGGATTTGAATCCACAAGGAATTTTAAAAGGAAGTTTGCAGGTAATTGAGAATGAGGAGTTTATAGGTTAAAATCATGAAATGGGTGTTTGGGACTAAATATGACAGTTTCTTCAAAGACACCTGGTGTAATTTGGATAAATCAGTGCTCCCTCGCAGGCCAATATCTCCTTCCTCAGCTGCAGAGCCCAGAACAGAGCACAATCCCAAGGGTGAACAAATCACGAATTTCAACATCTTGCTGCTTTTCAATTTACAAACATATTGGAGGTATTTTCCCACAGACAGAACAGACAAACCTTTGTCCTTCCACAGTTAAATTCCAATGATATTCAGATCCTGATGACTCTGCTGACTATCAGTGAGATCCTGGTCTCAATTATTCTCAATTAATATCCTGTAAAATCAATTCACAAAAGAAAAAGTACTGTCAGTCCAGGATAGAAATCTAGAAAACACAAACATTTCTCTTGGTTTCAGTTTGCTTTGTAAATGCTTCCCCCTCAAATCGCCCCGCCCCCCCAGGAAGCGACATGCGCATGCGTGTCGCTTCACTTTTCCACCCGCCCCGCCCTGCCACAACGATGGTGGTGGTAACCCTCCGCCTATCACCGCCTTAGGCCTGCCAGCCGTTTTCCCGTTTGCTGAAAATGCGGGACCGACTTGTTTCTAATTCGGGTTCTGCGGCCTAAAACGGGTGATTATAAAACATCCTAGACCAGACTGACTCCATTTTTCTCCCGGTTTCTACACTGCTCCCACACACTCAAAGCACCAGTAACGCGACACTGCACAGGCGGAGTTAATAATAACGTGTCATCCTGCTCGCCCCGCCCCTTGTTCACTCCCATTGTTTGGAGGACCAGCCGTGACGCTTGGTCTTCCAGCCCCGCCCACTCCCTGCCTTCTGGTTGGTGTCAATCAGCCGCGTCCCTTTGTGAGGTGTGTGGGGGCGATCCTTCCCCTGTCTGCCCTGGGATGAGCTTCATCGTTCGTGGTGAATGGTGTAGTATCACAGGGGCTGGTGGCTCTGCAGCCCATTGGAGCTGTATTCTGTCGCTCCGGAGATGCTGCAAATCTGGCCTAACTCCCCTGCCATTTGCCCATAGCCCTCCAAATCTCTTCTTAAGAAGTTAAATTCCAAATCTCTTTTGAGGACAACTACTGAGACTGCATCCAGCAGCCGTTCAGACTGCCCCAGACGCTCAGAAGTTGCTGAATGAAATAATCGTCACATTTTCACCCGACATTATTTGCCAATTAGCTAAAAACGGTGACCAAAAATTGCAGCGATGCCTCTTTCTCTGCAAATTAAATATCCTGGAAACAAATCTGCACCTCAACTGCTTCACCTTCTCAGCTCCAAGGAAAACTAAGCTTCTGCTTCTTCTCCACAAAACAGAAATACATCTTAATTTTAATATATTGATGGGGCGTGGTCTTTGCTGCCCAGACCAGTATTTATTGGCCATCTTTACTTGACTGGTAAAAAGTGATGGTGTAAACTGTCTTAATAAAAACCAAAAGAACTGCGGATGCTGTAAATCAGAAACAAAAACAAAGTTGCTGGAAAAGCTCAGCAGGTCTGGCAGCATCTGTGAAGGAGAAAAGAGTTAACGTTTCGGGTCCGGTGACCCTCAAAACTGTAAACTGTCTTCTTGAACTGCTGCAGTCCATGTGCTGTGTGTACATCACAGTGCTGTTTAGAGGATAATCTTCAGTAGTCTCACAACCCTCTCTTTGTCTACAATCTCTTCCAGCCTCAGAACTCTATCTCCATAATCTCCTCCAGCATCATAAACCTCTCTACCTCTGTAATCTTCTCCAGCCTCAGAATCCTTCTGATCCCTGTAAACTCCTTCAGCCTCACAATCCTCCCATCCAGCGTCATAACTCTCCAATTCTCTAATCTCCTCCAACCTCACAAATCTCTGAGATATGTGCTTTCCTGTAATGACAGTCATTTGTGGATACCCCATTTTTATTTCTCCACTTGATGGTGGTACTTTCAAATTCCTGGACCCTGAGCTCCAGAATCTCCTTCTGAACTGGTCCACCTCTCTCTCAACCTCAACCTCAGCTTAACTCAGACAAGGAGGAACCCGACAGATAGCTAAAGATGCTGGAAGATACCTCCATAAGAATGGGATACGATGCTGAACTCATCAATCGCCAGATTTAAATGGGACAACTTCTTCACGTAGAGAGTGGAGCATGTATGGAATGGGCTGCCAAAGAAAGTGGTTGAGGCAGGTACAACAGCAATGTTTAAAAAACATTTGGATAGCTATATGGATGGGAAGGGTTTAGAGGGATATGGACCAAATGCGGGCAATTGGAACTAGCTGAATGGGCACCATGGTCAGCATGGACCAGTTTTGGCCGATGGGCCTGTTTTCATCCTCTATTACTCTATGACTGTATGACTTTATGTCACAGGAAGGATAGCTCCGTCTGAATCAGCGTGGGGAAATCTTGCAGGGTGTCCTGTGGATCAGAGACAGCACATTTTACCATTAAGGACATGCCAGAGTGACAGAGCCAGAGAAGGTCAATCAGTCCATCATACCTGTGTCAGCTTGGGGGTTACGAAAGATGCATGAAAGTGGAAACACGTGATAGATTTGTTCGGGTCTGAAGTGTTTATTGGAAGCAGGAAGCTGAGGAAAATATTGAGATCTGACTGCAGGGGCAGCAAATATATTGTACAGTGCAGAGGAGATCTTTAATGTATTGAATTGGAGTTGATACGCCTAAAATGCTTTCACGAGTCCACACTGCTACAGAAGATAGTATGTTATTGCGTCTCATCGGTGTGATGTAGTGAGACAAATATCCAGTTGCTCATCACAGTTACACTGCAAGAAATTCATTTTTCATGTAATCTTCATGTAACAGAGGTTATATTAAGAATCCTTTCACATAAATAATTATACTCCATCTCAGTGTGTTGCTGTCTCCTTGGAACTTTATCTCTCATTGTGCATGCATTGAAGGCGCTTTGCTCCTTCTGCATGTCTATTTGCCTGACTGTTACCTTCTAGTTGGTGTGACGTAGTGGAATTGTGAAGCCAGATTCAGGCTGCAAAAATGTGTGCTCACCTTCAAAAGTGATGGCAAACTGACGAAGACAGTGGAGCTTTTTTTTCTGAGTATTCTGAAATATCTCCTTAAATCTCTGCCATTGCACCTATACTGAGCCAACTCTTAACCTAATTTTCCACTTCACTTCAGCCCTAACTTTGTACTAATACTATTGTCCTTTTAGGTTTTAAACGTTTGTCTTAGATCCAATCTTCTCTCCTTCAAAGTAAACGGGAAACTCAGTCACACAAAGGTCACTGCTACCTAGGGGCGCCTTCACTCTGACGAACGGCCAGGGTCCAAAAGGCCGATGATAGACACTCTGGCTCAGAAATCGATAATCAAAATGCTGTTAGGCACAGATGGGGATTGAACCCATGATTTCTGGCTTATGAGACCAACACTTTCCCACTTAGCTACTATGCCCTGCTCTTAAAGTGTTTATGAATTGACAAAACTATTGCATTCTATCGGTTTGGTAACCATGAGTGAGATTGTTTGAAATAGTTAGAAAAATAAGATAAACTGACTAATTACATAACGTTAAAATACATAATGGGACGGTAAAGAGAGAACAGCAAATGATCGTGTTAAGAAAAATTTGGATGTCATTGTAAACAATTCAGGAAATGTTATCATCGGTAGACAAATGGCAATGAACAGTTGGGTCAACATTTACAGGAATCAGATTGCAAAAGCTGAACGAGAAAGCCTTGCTGCAATTGTCTTGGTTTTAATAAGCACATAAATGCAGGTCAGTGCATTAATGATTTTTTAGCCTGGAGAAGGAAATACTTGCCTTTAAGGTCATGTCAGGAAAGTTCACTGGATTCATCCCAGAGATGTGAGGACTGTCTTCCGGGAGCATACAAATAAGATCAGTCAATGCGCAACAGAGTTTAGAATAATGAGAGGTGAAGAAAATACGTTCATTCACAAATTAATCATTCACGGGGATTTAGGGATGTTGGCCTTACAAGCCGTTCCCACATTCCATGAAAGTACAAAAGGAAGTGAGTTGAGAGTTTTTGATCCCCAAAGAGACGATGTCCATGATGTGCTTAGGCAACAATTTGGGTTAGTTTAGTTTATAAATGGAGAAATCACATTAATTAATCAAAAAGATCATTGTAAAACTGTAATGTCTGTCGTTCAGCCTGAGTTGGAGAATTGTATGCAAATCCTTGTCCTCACTCTTCATGAAAAATGTAGAGAATAGAAAGGACACAGACGATTTTATTGGGATGGTGGACAGGTTGCAGGATTATATTCATGACATGTTGGAAAAGTTGGAAAAGCTGCACCTGAATCCGGGAAAATTTGGAAGTAAACTAACAGAGATTTCCCTGAAGAAGCGAGGTTCAGGATGTTTATATAGGAAGAACATTCCCTCTTTTGAGTGAATCAAGGTCAGAGAGGTCAGACATTCAAAAGTATCTGAGAGTGATAAAGAAAAAAATGGAGCAGAGTTTCTTTCACTCAGAGTTATTTAAGTCAGCAACGATTTTAAACAACTTTTTTAAACAATATCAGGATTGAAGATGGAGGGCAGACGTTGGCTTTTTGGCCCATCAGTGTGCTGCACCAATGAGATCATCGCTGACACCACTCCAATCAGGTTGGTTGCCACCTTGGAGGGGAACTTGCAGATGATGTTGTTTCGATATATTTGCTCTTGTCCTTCCAGGTGGTACAGTTTGCAGGCTTGAAAGGTACTGTCAAAGGAGAGTGGTTGAGTAACTGCAGCGCATCATGTAGATGGTGCACTCTGCTGCCACTGTACCTCAGTGGTGAAAGGAGTAAATGCTGAAGGTACTGAATGAGGCACCAGTTAGGTGGACTGCATTTTCCTGGATAGTGTCAGGTTTCTTGAGTGTTGTTGGAGCTGCACCTATCCAAGCAAATGGAGAGTGTTCCGTTACACTCCTGATGATACACAGTCTTTGGGGAGTCACGAGTTGAATTATTCACCGTAGAATCTCTTCGCTCTGACCTACATTTGTAAGCATAGTATTTAGATGGCATGTCCAGTTCAATTTCTCATCAATGTCAGCACCCAGAATGACGAAAGTGGGGAATTCAATGAAAATAAAACCATTGAATGTCAATCGGTTATGGTTAGATTCTCATTTGTCAGATTTGGTCATTATTTGTTGGTGCAAATGTTCTTTGTCCTGTAGCAGGCTAACTTCAAAGTTGTCCAAGGATACTGCATTTATATACCTACTGCTTCAGTACCTGAGGAGTCACAAATGGTGTTAAGAATTGTGTGATCATCAGCAAACATTCCCACTTTTGACCTTGTGATGCAGGGGAGGTCAGTGATGGAACAGCTGACGGTGGTTGGGACTAGAACCTGATCCTGAGGAACTCCTGCAGCTGAGATGGTAGGCCTCCTACAATCATAAGCATCTTCCTCTGTATTCGGTGTTATCCATCCAGGATGAAGTAGGGTAAGGAGGATAGGGGAGTGTACAAGGGGAATATAAAAGGAAAGGAATGGAGCATTAAAACACAGAACAAGTAGGAAATAAGCTTGGACAAACAGTACAGCATAGAGTTAAAAGTCAAATACAACCATATAAGGACATAGTTATTGTGGCTTAGGTAGTTTAACTGCATAGCCATAACAGTGAACTGTCAGCAGTTACTTAGGGTTCAGAGACCATCTGTGTAGCTTAAGGTAGTCACGTAAGTATTATTCGTAAGGGAAGGCTTGTATGCTGTAAGCCGATGGTGGGAGCAGAGAAGCTCTGAA